CTGCCACGACTGATCAAACGCACGGTGCTGCTAGACTGGCCGATGTATGCTTTTGAGCCGGGAAGGATAGACTATGACGATTCACGATCTGCAACGTGATACAAATGACAAATATTTCATCGCCAGAAATGAAGGAAGGCAGTATGTAATATGTATAACGATGATTTCCTGGATTTGTCATAGGCTCTGCCTCTCCGAGACTCTCAAATTGTGCAAATATAAAAACAAAATATTCTATGGTCATATAACAGCGCCCCAATGCTACGCGCGGATATTGACACCACGAAATCCAATAGACATGGGACTGAGCTGTAATACGTGGTCAGCTAAGTGTTGCTATTTGGACTTGAAGAAGTATGAGACGCTGCATGCAAAGGCCGCCATGATGCCGAGTCAAGAATTTACAGCAGAACGAAATAAGCTCTTGGGAGGCCGATCCCCTCTCACTCTTCGAGCTGGAATGGTGATCAGTGAAATATAAGTATCAACGCAGTATGATATATCAACAAGACGTGCTTACATCAAAATTAGCAGTCATCCAGCGTTGGAAGACGTTCACACAGTGCAGATACTGGCCCATCACGACATGGGAAATGTACAAGCTGACTCGACAAGTCGGAAGACAACTTGAGTGGGTCAACGCCAACGTTCGGCTAAGCGTGCGATACAGCGTGTTGGCACGTGCTGAGAGGATTATAGCTATTCGACGTGGTAATTGCTTCGTACATATTCTTGTCAGCAGCGAGCCAGGAGCCGCGATAGCTCATCACGCACAAGACGACTTTGATTGTCTGTCTCCATGAGCGGGCCACATCTGGGTTCAGCACTTTGTTCCAGGCTTGTTGGGGCTCTGAGTGGACAACGCACCAGGCACTGGATCTCTACATTGTGTCGTCGTCATGACTTCCTATCGGTATCGATCCTGTCTTTGCATAGGCGGAAGAGTTGGCACTCTTTCGTGGCTTCCTTTGGGAGCCAACCACTGGGGCTGCTGAGCAACTCACTGGTGTTGCAACGCTAGTAGGATGGAGGTGCATGGCAGGTGACGGCATTCAGGGTTCAATTTATGTTGGTCGTTGGCTGCGTCCGCGCTTGATTCCCTCGTCGCCCTCATGTCAACCAATGTTCATGAAGTCGCCGTGTTGTCCTAGGCACGCATTGCGACGCGTCGATCGGAAACCGATGGACGATGTCTTTGCGCACAGGAATGAATGTCCCAATAGGACATTCATTATGTGCGTTGTGTAACCGCGTGGTTGCATGCCTCGCTGTCGGCAACCCGACAATGGCGACCGTAGGTCATCATTGCGGAAGAAGACCACCATTCACACCCAGATGCCTACTGAGGGTGGCCTTGAAACCCACTCGGCAGCCTCTATGGATGGGTCGATGTACGAGGGAAGACGACGTACCTTGGTGTAAATCTGAGCCCTGCAGCAAAATTCGCGGGACAGGCCCATGGCATAGGACGTGTCATCGGTGTGCAATCCAGACCACTGGTCTGCTGCAGCCAATCTTTGGAGGACTCATCTCTTTGCGAGGTGTATGGCATGGTAGTAGTCACTAGAGTTCTCAAGTGAGTCTTCAGCTGCATCGACGTCCTTCCTCAACACAATACCACCTTATACACTGCGAGGGTCTTTCGCGGCGGTACAGAACAAATACAGAAGTTCGGATATGGGCGTGGATGCGGCTATGCGGAAGTTGGGCGCAGGGACGAGAGTATCCGGACGGCCCTGTGATCAGGCAGGCTAGCCCTACTTAGTAGTCTGAGATAGGAACGACGTAGTTAAGATGGTAATGTAGGCTACAATTCTTGACAATGCTTAGCGCGGATCACTTAGAATGTAAATCACTTGAGCTGTGCGGATAATTCGAAAACCAACCAGAAATGACAGATAGCGACCACGGCAAAGTCGTCCTTCGACGAACTTCATCCGAGACGACGACGCTCACGACGCTGGCGGCATACAAGACGACGTCCATTCAAACACTCTACATTTCCCCCTAATTCTGCTACCACCACCTGCTCAGCCTATGGCCACAACTGTCTTTTCCTCCCTCGCCCCTCCAGACGATCCTCGTCGGCACAGCACTGTTTCTACATCTGCTGGATCATTTCGTTCTGCTCTTCAGCAGCAGGCTCAGCATTACACAGAGTCGTCTTGCTCGTCGTCTACACACACACTGAACCCTGTTGCATCAAAGGAAGCTGATGCTCTACACGCTCTCGCAGTAGCTTCGACTCAAGAGCTACATATCGTCAAGGTCACGAACGAGGTTGTATCGCTGCAATCTGGGTCGATGTTGCACAAGGCAGGGACACACCACCAGTCTAGCAGCACCGACTCGGCCGTTGGTCCACCACCACCCTCTCCGCCCTCCAGCACGGAAGATGGGGGTGAGTTGACTCCTCCGATGGCTGGTTCTCAAAAGTCGGACACCCTCGCTCCGCCTTCTACACAAGCCATCGCTTTTGAGACACAGACAATTATATTCGAGGAATCTGTGCTCGGGCCGCGGACGTCGACCAGCTCTCGTGGATCGCCTGTCCTTCCGCCCCCTCGCGTGCCTCATGTATTGCAGCACCGCTCCTCAACAGAAACGCGCTCTTCACTCTCTCAGTCGATCGTACCCCCACGCATGACCCGCACGTTAACCCCATCGGATGGCCCCTCGACGCCGGACATGCCGTTTCCCGAGGCACCACCGTCACCGACCCGTGTGCATACGTCTGCTGACGGATTCCTGCAGGCGCCGCCAATGAGTACGCATACACATCGCCGTAGGAACACAACGGGATCGACCGCGCCACCCGATACACTCATAAATGGCACCCCCACGCGCATGAAGACGATGCACTCGCCACATATGCATTCGCATTCGCATCTTGGGGAGCTCGAGGATGGCGAAGCTGTGGTCGGATTGGAGTCAGAGATGCAGCAGCAGGCGGAGCAGATCAGGAGGGAGCGGCAGTCGAAGCGGGTACACAAGGCCCAGGCAGAGAGTGCCCTCACGCGGACAATGTCTCTCGTCAGGGGGCCATCGTCCAGAGGTGACGAAGGTCCGCTGGTTGGGAACCTAATTGGGGAGGACCACGTCAACTACGTGTTAATGTACAACATGCTGACGGGCATCCGTATCGCGGTGTCGCGGTGTCAAGCCAAGATCAGGCGCCCACTCACACCGGACGATTACACGGCGCGACACAAGTACTCGTTTGATATGTGCGTGAGGTTATAGCTGTGTATTTCCCTCATCCCCACTGACCAATCATAGTGTCGGAAACGAACTGACGCCATCGGCGAAGTATGACTTCAAGTTTAAGGACTATGCCCCATGGGTGTTCCGGGAGCTGCGGGAAGATTATTTCCACCTCGATCCCGCCGACTACCTGCTGAGTCTGACGGCCAAGTATATCTTGTCAGAGCTGGGCTCCCCGGGAAAGTCGGGGTCGTTCTTCTACTTCTCTCGCGACTACCGCTTCATTATCAAGACGATTCACCGGAGCGAGCACAAGTTCCTGCGGAAAATTCTGCCTAAGTACTACGAGCATATCAAGACGAATCCCCATACTTTGCTCAGTCGGTTCTACGGTCTTCATCGTGTGAAGCTCCCGCACGGGAGGAAGATCCACTTTGTGATCATGAATAACCTCTTCCCACCTCACAGGGACGTCCACGAGACGTTCGATCTCAAGGGATCAACTGTCGGACGGTTGTATCCCGAGGAGAAGGCCAAGGAAAATCCAAGAGCGACCCTGAAGGATCTCAATTGGATTAGCCGCGGGAAAGTCTTGGAGCTGGGTCCGGAAAAGCGCGCGCTGTTGACCGAACAACTGCGCAGAGACTCTGAGCTGCTGAAGAGTCTACACGTCATGGACTATAGTCTTCTCGTGGGTATACACAATATGCGGCGCGGAAATCGCGATAACGTACGGAGCAATACCCTGAAAGTGTTCTCGGTACGTCATATAGGACTGAGTATTACTGGTTCATCATTTTGATTTTCTCGATAGCCAAATATGCCTGTCATGCGGCGAAAACCCACACAGGTCAAGGGTGCCTCGTCGCCAGATGCCATCGCTTTGCGGCGGATCATGCGCGAGTCGGATCCCAAGCGCTTCGGGTCTGAAACAATCAAGTTGCCCGACGAGGACACCGCAGGAGAGCGACAGCACTTCCTGTTCTACCAGGACGAAGGTGGGCTGCGGGCCACGGATGAGGTGAACGACAACATGGATACGATATACTATCTTGGTATCATCGACACTCTTACACCGTATACATCGCTCAAGAAGCTTGAGCATTTTTGGAAAGGGCTGTCGGCTGATCGAGTGAGTTGGCTGTTCGTTTACGGGTGCCGTCTTGTCTGCTGACGGCGTTACGTGCTCCAGCATAAGATCAGCCCGGTCCCGCCACAGGAATATGGAGACCGTTTCTTCTCGTTTATGAAAGCTATTATGCGCGGCGGGGAAGGCGGTGCAAGGTTCAAGTCCGAGTGATGGGCCTCCATGCTTCCCCGCACTTCCTGTTTTGTTTGTTGCGATTGCATTGGATCGGACAACCATGGACCTCCTGCCATTGCATGTAGCATGATCTTGCGCAATTCTATTGGTGATACCCTACATCTCTCGTTAACGGCCATTATCTACGCCTCCCACGCTCCTTAACATCTTTCATGATACTTACCTCTCTCGCTTTCCTGCTGTTTATGGTTTCGATCTCGGACACACTTATCTCCCATCTCTCATTGACCTAGAGTATACGCATACAATGTATTACATGTGCTGACATACAAATAATTTACACTTCGTAAAACCCCGTTATGAGTCTGAATCCTCTTCGTATTTTGGTGTTGCTTTTTTCCGTGCCGCTGTGACGAGCACGACGTCACTGAGAGATAGCGCTAGCAAGCCGAAAGGTGTACTCACTTCTTCGAGTGGCGCGTTTCTTGGCGACAGCTTTCTTCGACTCGACTCGTTTCTCGAATGCTTGATCTTCCTCGCCCTGCCGCCTGTGTTCTTCAAGAATCTATCAAATTGGCCACGTAAGACATGAGTAGCATAAGTCTAAGGAAGAAAATAAAGCTCACGTTCGAGAATTCGTTGAGCTCGGCGTCAGGCTTATTTGGCGACTTGTTCGATCGGGCTTTGGTGAGAATCTCCTGAAACCGAGCATATACGGTCTCCTCGTGCAGTTTGTCACGATAGAATTGAAGACCTTCAATGAGCTTTTTGACGGAGCGTTCAGACTTGAAAGGCAAGAGAGAAAGACAGAAGGCGATATCGCGCCATTGTCGTGGGTCTTCCGTAAGGCGGAAACGCTGACATAGCTTCTCCACGATATTCTCCGCCTGCTTCTCCTGAAAGATAGGAACAAGTTAGAAGATGGCTAATGCATAAGAAACTACGATGCGGACCTTCTCGATGAACGTAAAGATATATCGCATAGTGCTCTGAAAGACTGGCTCATCAACCGCATGAGCGCCCACGGACAAGTGACTGATGACTGCGTGATCATGAATAAAATAAACTCGCCAAACGAATTTATGGACCGCTTACCGTCAGGAAGATTGTTGTAGATGGCGTTCTCCTTTGTCGAGAGTTCTGAGAAGAAAAGCTTCGCCAGATCGGCTATCCGTTCGTCCTCGTCCTCGAGACATTTTGCCATCTCACCGAGCTGACCCTTCACTTTAATCATCCCGTTGAGAATCAGATGCGTCAGTACCATGAGTGTGTTCTTTTTCACAACAAGATTCGCGTCCGAGAGTCCTTTATACAACTCGTGGCTGTTTTCGTCGATAATGCTGCTGAATGACACTGCAACATCTCCAAGAGCGATAACAATATTGCTGCGAATGTTGGCATCTTTCGACGATTCGAGGATCTTAAATAATAACGGGTAGTGTTCATCACAGAATCGAGAACTGACGCAAAGGAATTTGCTGAAAGCGAGCGTGGCGACTGCCTGTAGCGTCCGATTCTGTGTCCCAATGTCAGCACTAGCTTTTCAACGCTACACTTGAAGACTCTACCTTGAATTTATGGGGACTACCACAGATATGTACGGCCATTGGTCCATAAATTGATAACAATGAGTCCGGGCCGTACAGCAATTCACTTTCTCTGATCGTGGCTATTCGGTCGCCAATTTCATCTTCAGCGTTGCCTGCCACTTGATCAAGCTCTTCCTGCTCTTTCGAACGCAGCGAACTTCTCCGATCGCCAGCGGTTTTCTCGGCTAGTACAAATGTTCAACACTCAGCTTCCGAAGCTGTACATTCAACACAATGCTCACCTGCTTCCTTCTCATGTTTTTGTCGTTTCCATTCCCTCTCAACAAGCTCCAGATACACGATATGTTTGATCGCTACATGCCCGACGACGAACAGAAGCTGGCTGAGCGCGAATGCATCACCAGTATCATTCTCGTCTTTGGCTTGTGTCTGCGATTGGGATAAAGTAGGATCGGCGGACTCCTCTCTAGTATTGTCCATATCCATGGATTCAGACTCCTGAGGCTGAGGTGTTTTCGCGCGCCCCTTCCCACCGAAGGCACGTTGGGTGAGATTTTTAATAAGACTGTCGCATAGAATATCTGGACGCTCGCCCAAAGCATAGACAGTATCGATTGCCTGTTCTGTCATTCCGAACCACTCCTTTGAACGGCAAGGGTGTTCAATGGCATCCTGCAACTTGCGAAAGAGCGGATTGTCCATCTCCAGCCTCAGAGATTTGTCAAGTAAGGATCCTGCCATGAGCATACAATGAGAATGAGCAAACATCAGCATCATCAAATCACACCTTTCACTTTCTTCGCGCTTCCGTTCAATCGTTGTAATGCCACGAACGTGTATCGGGCTAGAGTCAAGTCAGCCTGGGCAAAAAGAATGTCAAATACGGCATAAGCAGTAATTGCTTGCAGGTACCTTGCCCAAACTTCCCAATCCCACTTTGACCAGTGTCTCCACCCGGTCCGCTACCACACTTCTCCTGGCGAGCGCCAGCATACCTAGAATAATGATAGCGCCCCGCCGCTGAGCTTTGGGAAGTGGCCTTTCCGAGCCTACAATACAGGAGTATGAGTCATGGATAGTGCCGCAGATACTGGACGAAAACTAACTGTAGACTTGCCATAGCTTATTAATCACGTCGTTGTGAATTTGACCGTCTTCCATCATCGACCGCATCATCTCTTCAAGACTTGTGAGCTCAGCGAGGGTCGCGTCGTATGTCAGCCTGCGAACGAGTCGTTAGCCATAAAAACAAGTACAGCGTAGGAGTTTACTCTATCATATTCTTAGCAATCCGGTTAACCTGCTGCTTTGGCTCCAAATCCGGAAGAGGGTCAAAGTAGAGACTCCGGTAGCATTCTAGGAGGCGTGCGCGTACACCTTTGAGCTCTTTCCCGTCTTCAGACGTCGCATTATTATCCTTCGACCAAATAAGATGTAACATTTGCTTGATGCCGGCCTGCAGATGCAATCACGTCTATGGGCTACAGCACAGCTATAGGAGTAATGACTGCTTACTTCTGCGCCTTCAAACTGATACTCATACGACACCCTAAAAAATTCGATGACCTCCAGGACTTCAAGTTTGTTCGTCGACGCAAGCAGCCGCTGAATTGTCTTCATGCCCTCTTCAACTTGGCGAATGAAGTTGAGACCCTCTGAATAGTACTTTTTCCGTAACCGAAGATGTAGTAGCTGATTGCTTTCCAGAGCGGCGAGGGCCGCTTGTTCATTGCTTAGCGCAGCCATATCGAGCTCAGATTTTCTAGGACGTTTCTTGAGTTTTGACTTCTTGGGTGTCTTAGGCTCTCCTTCGTTCTCGGCATCGTCCATCTCAACATCGACATCAAGTTCATCACCTTTCCTTGCGGTTTTATCGTCCTCATCTACTTCCATTTCGTCGTCGGTATCAACCCTCCTCTTGTTTCTGTATCCAGAGTTCAGAATGCGAGAGTTAGGGTACAAGACAGCTTACTTTTTGGACTTCAATTTTCTTTTTGGCGTGCTCGGACCGCCGTGTGCTTTTTCGTCATTGTGTAATTCGTCATCATCTTCTTCTTCTTCTTCGCGCTTGTCGTCCTCTTCGCCCTCCTCATCCTCTCCGACCTCATCACCTTCTCGCTCGACTGCTTTACCCACAACACCCTCGACAACCTGCAACTCCTGGCACACATTTTTGTATCTGTCTTCCCATTCTCGGAGGCCCAAAAGGCCACCATGCATCAATCCGTATGGATGAGTAACAATGAGCTTCACGATCATCGTTACGGCGGCCTTTCGAACGCTCGAAGCCTTGTCTTCGAGCGACTCCACTGCGGCTTGTGTGATCGCCAACCGTTGTTTCGGAAATTTGACAGGTAAATCGCACAAACGGGCAAGAACCGTCAGGACCTTCGTACGCACGTACGACGATAAATCAAGGGTACGCTCGAGTAAAAGGTCATACAGCCCGTTAAGCTGTTTCTGTGTCTGATGTTCGTCCGCCGTAAGGTCGGGAGAAGAAGCAAGCTCCCGAATGAGACATCCGATGACTTCGACAATAGCCACGCGCATGGGATATGACTGATTAGGCCTATGGTTATTTTCCTAACCGGCAGTATATACATGACAGGGACACATACCTCTGAATCGAGATGAGAAAGCAGCAGACTGATCTGCTTGAGTACAGACCGCGGCGTAAGTTCTGCCAGCTTCACCAAGAATCGCGAAAATGCTCTTGGGCCTTTGGAATCCTGCGCGCTGAAGCTTTTCGCCGCAATTTCTCGCAGAATTTCGTCGCCTAACTGCGCATGATCAAACTCCTTTGCAAGTACTGTAAGACATTCCGCCATAGGTTCAGAAAGATGCTCATAATACTGCAGAGACTGCATGATGCTGATCTGGGCGGCCATAGCGTGTCCATGGTGCTTGACAGCCAAACAGATCACCTTGTACACGCCAAGCCGTGTAGGCTGTGACTTCATATACTGTTCATTTTCGGTGACGTGATAGACAGGTCGAGTAATGCAGCTAGATATTTTGGTCAAGAAGTTGGATGGTGCAACATCACACACAACTCACTTTATGAAGGTGTCCCTCTCAATAGTCGTCAACCAGATGCGCTGCGTTTTAAGCCGTAGAACTCTGCCAATGAGAGCCAATGTCGGTGGAATTTGTTCCATCCACGTCCATTCTTCCGTATTCTTTCTGGCAACAGCTCTTGAAGAACCTGCTTTGGCTCCGCGTCCTCTCCTAGCTCTAGGAGCGGGTGCGGTTTGGGCATTCTCTTCCTCTCCCGAAGCTTTCACTTTCTCTGCAGCAGTAACAAACCAATGAAGCAAGAACGCGTACATTTCCAGTGGTGCCTTATGCGACATGACCGTTTGCTGGTCCTCGTGGTCGACGTCGCGTATAGTGGCGTCGACTTGTGCCTGGAAAGCTGATGAGATTGAGTCGAGTAGTTTGTTCATCAAGGGGCCCTGAAGAGCCTCTGAATATTTGAGGAGACTGCGGTATGTATCGAACACCTTTAGATCAGTGATGGCGTCAGAGGATTCAGCTAGTGCTTCAACCGCGCTCTCGAGGACATGGACGACGGAACGGGCATCGAGCAAGCTGATATCATGTTCATTAGGTATCTCGTAGCTGGTGAGATTCTGCAGGCCTTGCAGCTCCTCCTGAAGTTCGAAGGTAGCCATGATGGCAAGAGCGCAAAGACGCGTCCGAGTCGCGGTTCAGGTTCAAGATCGCGAATACGCGTTGGTCACATGCGTGGCCGCGATCGGTCACAGTCACAGGCATAACTATCACGATTTCGTCCTCAGCGAGTCGCGACTCCTCAACTTTCCTCTGTCTCCACTCACACTTTCGGTCGGGAACATGGTGCGTAAATTACTGTAGTGTCTTGCAACAAGCTAATTTCTGCTCCAATCAGATTATTCCAGTCCGCTGTTTTTCTTGTGGGAAGGTTATCGGAGACAAGTGGAATGACTATCTCGAGATGCTGTCGAAGGATATCAGCGAAGGGTGCGTAATGCGCATATTCTATAACTAGCGCGCTCTCATTTTGGCTTTCGCTGCAGTGATGCTCTGGATCAGCTTCAACTAAAACGATATTGCTGCCGGCGCATGGTTTTAACACACGTCGACCTCATTGAGAAGCTTCTGCATTACAACCGTGTGTACTCTTGTCTATATCTTCTCACCGACTCTCTGAGCCTCTGTTTGCAGCATATGAGCGCCATAAAGACAAGCCTGTTGCATGATAGCCCAAGATAGCCTTTCAGTTGACTTTCATCAAGCGTCCCTCTTGTGTATGTCGTGTATCATTGATGTTTACAGAGAGCGTCGTTGTATGATGCTTGTGATTTAAAACCAGAGCGATTGTCTGCCCGTCAGTGTTGTAAGCCATCAATATCACAACCATAATCCAGGAAACACAGGCGGCCCTGTAAAATGAGAACACATGTGTACACTATGCCCGGAACGTTGAGCAGTGCTGCAAATTGAGACCTCGCTGCACATGGTGCGATCCAGCCTGTCGTTCGAGTCGCTACATTCACACAAGGCTAGAAGAATGAAAGTAATAAGACTATGCGTTCAAGTGTTGTCAGTCTCTTCATGTCGTACTATTACATCCAGCCTCAAGGAGCTCCATAAAGAGAGGCGTTACACGGTAAGCATTCAACATCCAAGGACAAACGTGTTGATACGCCATGACTTCACCGAATTAGATCCAGGGGATATACTAGAGGCCTACCTGGCGAAGGCATTCCCTTGGTTGTCTCTTTCTAACATAACGCCACGCAGCCTTGCCTTGATCGTCTTGCCTTTGATCGATAGCGATGGTCCAATGCGCCTGTCAACCCATTGGCTATCGCTCCATTGAATCCCACATAATGCAATTCCACTCGAGCAGCATGGAACTCCCCACTTTCATAGCGACGAGCAACTTCTCCTCGGGCATCTTCGCTATCCCTGTGGCCGACACTCAGTCTGTAAACCGCATCCTTCATCTGTGCCAACGCGACGCCTATGAGCCAGCACACACAGTGAGGATACGCAGGCTTACACTTTGAGGGAGCTTTTGGAAGCGATCAGGTTCCATCGTCGAGGCATAGTGTCCCTGAAACGAGCCGACATATACCCATCGTCCACTCCTGCAGACGACCAGCTCGTTTACGCGATGTCCAACTTGTTCGTGTTTCTTGGTCGATTTCCAAGTCATCGCATTTCCCGACATGCAGGCAATCTGCTCGGGAAGTACGACAACCGCCCTTCGCGCCCTGCGATCTAGAACGAGTTCAGGTCCAGATACGAGCATCTTCGGTCGATCGCTGTGGATAGAGAGTTCATAAGGCATTGCCAGGATACACTGATCGGTTCTTACTCTGAAGTCTATGGCGCATGCGCGAATGTCAGGTCATCGGGTTTGTCGTATCCAGTGACATCCATTCTGCTTACTGTTACAACATTTTTCAAGTATTTCCAAGGTGCTTCGCCAGGAGGAGACGCATAAACAAACCTCCTCTTCTCAGGTGGTCCTATCCTCGAAATTTTTGGTTCTCGCTGACGTCGCTTAAATCGCTCAAGGAGGTGGGGATTAACCTGCCATGGGGTACAAATCACGCCTCTCGGTTTCCTCTGTTTTCCTTGCACTTTCTTCTTCCCGCTTTTCTCTGGTTTGTGCCCGATTCCACTCTTGCCATTGGGCACTAAGCGTACAGGGCGCGACCGCGGTGGTCGTATGATTTTCTACAAATTGTGGTTTACGCGAGGCTAGTAGTGAATGGGGGAGAGGCAATCACCTGAGTAAGCCCATGCGTGGGACCTATAGCGCCGGTAGAATATAGCTTTGCTTTCGTCAATTCTGGCTTCCTCGGTCCATGCATGGTAACCGTAAAGCCAGTCGTTAACTTGATTCTCGTCTGGTCCGATTTCCCCGAACTATCATTGAGTTTAATTCACCATCGCTCTGTGAGAAGACGGGTGTAGGCATGAATCCTCACCGACGGCCCATTGTAAAAGTATAATAGAGGGAGTTTGGCTTGTTGGTACGATGCGATGCAATTGCGCTCAGTGCAATAGCTGTCCAAACGCTAGATCGCACGACTATAAGAGAACGGAGAATAAGGTTCACGCAATGGCCTTCCCGTCGCACAATGCTGGCACAGACCCTACACATGCCGAACACGCTGTGATGGCGAAGGTACAAGATTTCGTCGAAGTACAAAAGATCATCAATAATTGCCAACTCTGGCTGCAAAGGGGGACCTGCTTGCAATTCGCCAGCGGAGAGCTCACGTATACCCATCACGCGGGCTGGCGGACCATACACGAGATTCACAAGACTCGGCCCCCACATCGTACGTAGCGCGACATACGCTATTCATGAGCCAATAACGAGATCAGTCAGGTGTGACAAGAACTTCAGGATCCGGTCGTTGACAACCGCGAAGTTCCGTCATACGTCCAGGCAAGAGATAATACACAAAACCGGAGAACATAAGGCAGCGCTCACGACAAGAAACGCGCTTGATGTTGAAATCCGTCGCCATCCTCCAAGTATGTGACGGATACCAAGCCATATTCATAGTGCATTCAAGTTTCTCTTTTCAGCGCAGCTTGACAAGTGACCAGGCGTCCATCGCACGACTCTGGCCCACAAATGAGGCTATCCTGCAACAGCGAGATGTTATGCACTAGTGTATCAATTTCGAATGATGGGCCTGTTGATATTGAACCTCTAGTATTCAATGGGCAGACAAGCTCTGCCTGAGCTCCTGAATCGTCATCAGCTGTGGAAAGCTTCTATAAGATGGAATTTCATTAAATCAATAAGGATGCAAGACATTAGCACTTGACCATACTACACATATGGACATGTCTCAAACCATGATTTTCTTGCTTCCATCGTAACGACATCTTTTAATGGATCATGATCCGGACACTTGAATTGGGGCGACTTGCATCACGACATGCTACATGCACATACGTCTCGAAACACAAACTTACTTAGACTGTCTTGATCGAAGGAGAACAGTGCGTACGTAGCATAGTCAGATGATGCTTGAACAACTCGAAACCACCCAACAAATCGAGATCCAAACACTGACATAACCTAATAAGCAGCAATATCAATAAGATTCGAGCGCATCTGCAGAATATAGAACGCAAACATACACGAAGTGGAATGAGAGCAATTGGCACACAAGTTATCAAGAAACCCCACGTCATTGACAGGGAGCAACCTCTGTAGCAACGACAGTAATTCCAGTGGTAAATCAGATTTGATTGCGACGAAGACAATAATACAAAAACAAATAGGTCAACTAAATGAGGACTGAAGAAATTGTGCGCCGCAATTTAGTACTCAGATGCCCATCATTAAGGACAGTCAAGTGTGGATCCAGCACTGTTTATCTTCCACTTTCGCAAGTACAGGCGACGAGAGCAGATAGGGCTATGTCTCCAGGCTAAAGCGAGTGGGTTGAATAGAGTAGAAAACACACCAAGGACACGCTAACAGAGAAAATCTTGAAATTTGTCTAGTCCTTACACTGTAGAGATAATATCAAGGAAGCCTAAATTTTGCTGAGGGTGTCCACACGCAGACAGATTCTGAGAGAAAAAAAAAGGTTAGAATCAAAGTGAAAGGGCATGGAAACGAGTTGGAACAAGGGGAAGAACAACGAGAATGGAACCGATTAAGTAAGGCCAGGACGACACGAAAAACCCTGCCCTGAAGTGATGTACGCGTGACCGACCCGTCGCGCCTGCCACCGCAGTGCCAGCAGCCACCGAGCCACACTCATAATATTCGGAGGCCGCTGCCACACCAATCCGAACATACATATTTCAAGGGACTAGTCGCCCTTCGTTTACCCCAGTGCCCACAATTTCCGCCGTCAGCGCAAGATACCATGATCGTGACCCCTTCGGCTGTACCGCCGCCAACATCCAGCCCGCCTCGACCCACGACCACGCCGACGTCTACGACAAATGCGCCTTCGGCTTACGAGCAGGAGCATCGACTGGCCCTCCTCAAAATCCCTTCGGTCATCCTAAGTACTCCGGCCATCTCGCACACAATGGCCGCGGCCCTCGCGCTCTCACTTCTTGGCCACGTTTTGTTTCTTAAAAGCCAAATACCTTTGTAAGCTGTTCATCTCACCATTTGGTCCACTTTTATTGAGATCGTCGCTAGTCCAATTGTGCAGCTCGCGCGCATGCCTGGCGGGAAGTCCGACTCCCGTGCTACGAAACGGCGTATAGAGCTGCTCTCCGCGATGGACACGCTCTCATCTCATATGCAAACAACCTTCTCAGCGTTGTCGACCGCAATAGCACGCCGTAATTCATCGCCTGCGGGAGTAAATTCACCGACTTCTGAGCGGGCGAGCGCGCATTTGGTGTTCGTCGTGGGTCCCAGTGTCGGTGCAGCCCGTGCGCGGGTAGTCTTCGCAGTGGATGGTCTCGAAGTGAAGCTTTGGGGAAGAAGGGAGGATAGCTCGGATATTAGATATTCGGGCAGAGGAGAAAAGATTCAAGAAGGTGAGGATGGAGAGTCAGACGAAGAGACTGAGGATGAAGAATCAGATGAAGAAAGTGAGGACAAAGAGTCGGACGAAGAGAGTGAGGGTGGGGACTCGGACGAAGGGAGTGAGGATGAGGATGAAGAGGACGAAGATGACGGTTACGACGAAGAATCCAATGAAGGACTCAAAAGAATTTCTAATGGTGAGGGCGAAAGTGAAATAGGCTCTGAGACGGCATCGGAGCCACCCCTTTCGCGGTCTCCCTCTCCATCTCCTTCTGGGTCACAATGCTCACGACCTTCAACACCCGCGACGCCACCCGTACAATCTGCTAACCACGAGAAGTCACCCGTAATGTCATCACAAACCTATGCCGAAGAACAGCAAAGTTTGAGAGCGGCCGAACGACTGCTCTCGCGAATTTTAGCAAATGCATGCGCGGAAGAAAATGGAGGCATGTCCTGTGAGCTAGGTACGCTCCATCTCCTTCTACATAGGTTCACGTTGCATACCTGGTTTCTAGCTCCCACACAGACTCATGTTCTCCTCCGTGCGCCCCGGAGGTTCGTACACCCTGCGTGGATCCCGCGGCAGAACCTAGTTCGGACCATGGAAGGCTTGCTTGGCACTTTTCTGGACGAAGCTAGTGCCACGGATACCTCGAGAGAGAAAAAAAGGGGCCAGCAAAGAGGCGTCAGGACGGAAGGAGTGTGGATTGGATGCAGCGAATCAGATATCAGTGCAGGCGTGAAAATTGACCCTGAGACCGAGGCTATAAATGAAGAAGACGAGATGATTTGGTGGGCGTGGGATGGCAAGCTCGTTGGTTTCTCGGATTGGTGAGCAGGTAGGAAATTGTTCGGGTTTTATTTCTATCACCTTTCCTCCACATTCAGGACACTGTTGCATGTACATCTGGAAACGCATCGGCAGAGTATTGATAGTATTGCTGCATTCTATGTATTCTTACAAGCGATCCATCGGCTGGACAATGATCATTTCAAATGTTACCACCAATATTGATATGAATGGATATACTCAACTGTATGCACCGTTGCGCGGATCAGTTGATATGCATGTCTAGTTTGAGCTTTCGCATCGGCAGTAAATGGGCTTTATTGCTCTCGTCAAGCTGGCCATGGTGGTGAAGCTCTTCTTATAGATCTTGCACGAAATCAAAATAAGATTCACACCAGTAGCTCTGGATTCAGCAATATGTGCGAAAAGAATATACGAAGAGGTCGCATAGTGGCTGAAGAAGGTGCTCATGCAAGAAAAGACAATGGTTCAAGATCCTACAATGAATCACTCAATGATGTCATAAACTGTTAACAGATGCCACCAGGTACCTCAAATACTAGAACGCCCTTCACATTACAAGCATGCGTATATGCACTTCATTTTCACTCTGTTGAAGTAATGTCAGCAGTGTGGAACTGTCAGCCTAGAGGTCTCGTGTATGACTTTCACTCATCGTCATCGTTGTCTCCGTGCGTTCAACAAGAGCAGTAGAGTTGATACAAGCAATATAATCTTGAGCTACAGAAAAGACTACGGAATCCCATGCCAGTGATACAAGACAGCACCCTGCACACCTTACATGAGTAACATGGTCCTTTGAGAATGACGGCGCATTCGCTCACCGTGCTGTTATCTTTCCTCACTACCTTCCTATTGACCAACGCGATCAAACACTTATTCACCCGGACTTGCGAGAGGTCCGGTGGCTTGATCAACTCCGCAACTATTGAATGACGATTCTTCAGCTGATCGGTGCGACAGGACTGAGAACACGCACTGCCAACGCCACGCCCGGGTCTATCCAAAAAGCCCTCAATTACAGTCTCAATATGCCGTCGCAGATTCGGGTCGTTTCCACGAAACTCGAGCGGTAAAGATGTCACAACCTTATCGACAAGTAGCCCGCGTTCCTTCTTCTCCTTCGTAGTCAACTTAGGCTTACCCTTCTGAACTTTCTTCATCGGGACCTTGGAGCCCATAGAAACTGTCGTGGCGTTGGTGGTGGTTGCGAAGGTGGTATCATTTCCTGTCTCATCGGAGAGAGAGGCTGTGGACTCTTTGCTCACGCTTGGGGCGTCTGGAGATTGAGGGCGGGGCGTAGCTTGAGCTGTCCGAAGTGCGTCCATGGCAGCCGCGGCGTCTTCCTCTTGATCAAATTCACCTCAGATGAGTGTAGGTTCGACACATCGAGAGAAACACACCTGCTCTTCGTGCAGCAAGTTTATATGAGGCATATGTTGGAGCCTGTATGCATGCAAATGGACTGTTCAACCCGATGCAACCACTACAGACAATTTGAGCGACAATACATACTTGAGGCCAGTCAACTGTGAGCGCATTCATATTCATAACATATAGCCAGCTCGCAAAACTCTCATTGAACGTGCCCAGAGCATCGCTGAGGGACCTGAGACCTTGGACGTTGGTATTCAGGGCTTCGACTTCGTCTGCGAGCTCGGCGAGAGCAGGTTCGAGGAAACCAAGACCGTAAGGTGCATCGGAGTGAGCATTCGAACGAGAAAGACGGAAGAGCGAGCCTTGGGATACTCGTCGGAGAGGCGTGCGTTGTGGGGCGGCTACGGCAGCAGACATGGTCGCGGTCGAGTGGGGAACTGCGACGACTCACGAGGTAGCTATCGACACGACTCACGTGACCGACGCGTCGACGCAACCGCTAACAGTCTGAGTAAGGAGTAAGCACGAAGTAACCGTAGACTATAATCGCCTCGCCCGAAATCCGCAACTAAACGAATTGCCATTCAGACGATTTTTATGGTCTCTACAGCCAGTCATACATCTTTTACTACCACAATAGCCCAATCCTAATATTAAAAAACAACACAATGTCTCATTTGTAACGGCTCTAACCTACAAGCACACAATCGCAGTTGCGGCTCGCAACAACTACATTCGTTGCCATGCCCTCACTTTGAGCTACAATTCTCCCGCGACTAGCACAAACCTCACGAAGAGGCAACAGGTTCCAAAAATTGGTGGCAGCAGCCCTGGAGTAGTCTGAATCGAGTTACGAGCCCGATGATTCTCACCTACAAAAGGCAAGACATCAATGAGCCCGCGCCGCGAATTGCACTGAAGAACAGCACAGCGTCCAGGTAACATTATCGTATCGTCGCTTTCCTCGTACAACAACACCAGTTCCGGATGACTATACAATTTGGTGGCTCGCCAAAAGAAACATGCCAGGCATGTTGAATTTCGATCGTGATAGTGGCCGTAGTCACGTCTGTGCGAGTAGGGTCGTCCATTGTCGAGGCAGTTCCGTGTCATTAACTTGACAGTTTATTGAGGCGCCACGGGCCGGAAAGCAATGTGATGGCACGGTGGTACATGGTGAACACGCCGCGATGACAGTGGCTGTGATCAATGGTACATGATCAACAGCACCCAGAGTACGTGGGCGTCCCCTCAACTGGCTAAGCGTAGTTGGAAAACCATCAGGACTATCCGTGATGGTGATATCTTATTTGCATAAAATAAGATCTTCATGTACGTATGCATACATGGAACGCGCGTTGCGTACGCAAAAAACCTCGATCGCGCAGGATCAGAGTGGAACTGCGGAGGCGACGCCATCAGGATGAGGTCCCGCTGTTCGCGGGTTGCCTCCTCTGATGGAAGAATGTCACCTTCCACATGAAACAGTGTAGTCAGGCCAGTTGGTTTCTTCCAAAAGGAGTACAGGAGGGAGCCATCCCCCTGTTAACGATAAAATGAAGCCGATGGAGAACGAATGACAGAGGACATTACCAGCCAATGCTGCTCGCTCCTTGCGACGGATCCCAAGTCGATACGGTTTGGTGCAGAGCCACCGAGCCTTCTCCACAAAGGATCTTCAGGCAGTGGCCACAAACGCGTACGGACGAATTTCAGGTGCGTCGCTCGACCATTATAGTCGGAACCAGCTAGGGACTATTGAAAAGGAGAGTAGTCTCAGACCTTAGCCCGCTCGCAAACAAAGCTTCGCAGCGGAATCCTGTGTGGGACGAGCATCGCGGCTTCAGGCTGCTGCCATGATGGTGATGAGGAAGAAGACGAGACGCAAAATTCGCGGAAATTTAAGGGCTTCTCTCGTTCCCAGCACGTGCTCACAAGCGCGCGCACCCGTCGTCGCCCAACATCCGGTCTCGTTTGAATCAGACCAACTCCCAAACATGATCAAGTGTAGCGACATCGCACACGACGTGCATTTGCCACGTCTGACGTTACGTCTCGTTCAACGCTTGGTAGGGCATATGGTGTTCGGTCTGTCTGTCATGCAATCCATCCACTGCAATTTAAGTCGTCGCCGGGCTCCCTGGTCCTTTAATAAAGCTTCAGACTGACACACTCGAGCACGAGGCAAAGCTCTGAAAACAGACACGAAAAAATCATCGCCACCTGCAGTCACCTTATTTACACAGTGTAGCAAGCAGCTTTCTCTCAAGTTCTGCCCGGATCGTCGAAAAGAGTCTCCTCGATATGGTCTGAAACGTCAGCTTGGCATCCCAGCGTGCCCTTACTAGCATGCTTGATAGTTGTTGGCGTGCACATCTCGTCGCCATCAAGAAAATCTGAGAAACTGTGTTTACGATGTCGATTCCAACCACATCTAAATATTCTTTGCCGCTCATTAAACGCTGCAGAGGTCGGCCCAATTGCGATTGTGCTGGAGTGCAAATGCTGACACTTACAAGTAAATAGTGGCGAAATAGGGTACCGCCGTTCCCGTAGTATTTCCCAGCTTGAATTGTCAAAATTTTCTGTGTGACCACAATTACGACGTGGGCATTACACGTGTATGCGCTTGCCCCTCTGATTTGGTTTACAGGCGTGTTCGTCGCACTGGGGTGGTGCCCAGCGTCAGGCGCATCAAGAGTCAGAGCCTCATTGTGGAGGGACAGACATCGAACTATGCGTGAACAATAATAACGTTGACCGCGTGAAGAGACAGGGATCCAACAAGTAGAGACAGCTCAACTTGGAAAATCATCCACGCAGGTAACATCTTACTGGATGTCATCAATAGTCATTCGCATTCTCTTCACACATGTTCAAACAAGCGCATGGGACTAGCACAAAGCTCTTGATGAGTGACATGAGAAAGCATCTTGTATATACGTACCTATGATAGCAGACATTCCCCACAGCTATGATGGTCGCTGATTGGTATGCGAAAGTATAACAACATTAGGCGCTTCACCCATTTGAGGTACTGTACCCACACTTCGTGGGCTACTTCGTTGCAACGGCTAATGTCATCTACTACATCAAGTAGCAAAGCAGTCGTGTCAACAGACGACCTTCACTAATCACGTTGAAAATCAATTAGTACAAATTATCATGAGCCACACTCTGGCCAGTGTGATGAAACACACAGTTAAGTTCATGTTCTCGAGGACCCCTTATGATCCTATGCATATTGCATGTGTCTGCAGTACAAGCTGCAGTGCACTCCTATCAACTGCGATATGGAATATCCAAGTCGGTAATGGCAGTTTGATCATCCCACCCAGTCCGCGTGTCGTACCCTCCGATGTCTCTGCAAATGTCTTCTCTCTACTCGCGATATCAATTCGTGGACCGCATTGTTCTGATGAGCCGCATTAATCATCGGTCATCAGAAAGCCCGCTGTTTCTGCTCTCAGAGATTAGTCTACGCATAATATGATAGAGCGCATATACGATTACTTACAAACGAATAGTGGAATAGTGGTGATACGAAAGATTGCCGGCGCCCTCAAGGTGTCCAACCTATCCTTGCTCTGAACCTTTCTTCGTGTTTTGAGCGAGCGCGTCATGCGTTCAAGACGTGTATACCTCTCTCTCTCTCATTCATGTTTAATTCGCATATCACCGAGTGACTCTGGAGACGTTCGTCACGCAGGATGACGCCATCAAGCTCGAAGCACATCTGCACCTAGCCGACCAGAGCGCAGAGTTAGACGTTTCATAGTACGACGGGTCGGTATTCGGAGGAGAGATGTGATCCTCTGGAGAATGGTCAACGCTTTGGTCGAAGGTCCACACGCAAAGCTGATACTCACCACGGTTCAAATAAAGCATTAGGCCAGTCAACTCTGCGGAGAGAGATGGTTGTTTGAGATTCTGTTCTCTACTTGAAAACGATAAACGCGCCGCGAACGGAAATCAGTGGCATAGAAATCTAGCTTATCGTACCTTTGGAAACTGAAACAAACAAGGACTGGAGATAGAGGTGCATATCAGGGATGGGATGTGAAGTATGAATCAATTCGATATTTTGTAGCAACATGGAATACGCGAGCCTCACGAAGTGGCTCAATGGTTCCAAAAATTACTGGCAGCAAGCCTAGAGGCACACGATGCTCGCCCACGAAAGGCAAAGCGTCGATAGGCCCGTGACACGAAGTGCACCGGAGGACAACATGGCCACTGTGCCAAAATCATCTGTCATAGCCCCCTCGTACAACAATACCCGTTTCGAATGACCGTGTATATGGCGGCTCACCGACAATCACAAATGATCATGTCAGATTACTCTGCTGGTATGACTTCCAAACTGCCTAGACAGTGGAAATCGTATCGTCAATGAGACGATGAGCTTAATAAGCTATCTCGCTTTCGAGACCCATGCGCAATTTGCGCATGTCCGACCATAAGTCGGAGTGCTGTAGAAGCGACACCATCTGGAAAAGGTTCGCGAAACGCGAGACACCTCACCAAAGGGTTGCATGCCACCCACTACATGAGCAGAGCCAGTCAGTTCGATGGGCGACCTCCAAAGAGGTACAGGAGGTAGCCATCCCCCTGTCAATAAAGCGGTGAAGCCGATAGGGACTGCGGGACAAACGACCATGCCAGAGCCGATGCCAACAGAGAGCGAGTTTACCGCTCTCGTAGTCGATGCACAACGAACATCGCTGCCATGATGGAACTGGAAAAGAGGCTCAGCCGCTGAGGACGGCGAGAAGTACGACTCCCTCGATCCCAGCACATGACTGACGCGTCGCGCCTGTGGCTGCACAACCGCACATGCACAAAGGCTCAAATGCTATTGCTTTACGACTTGGGGGCAAGGAGGATTCAGAACAACTTGTTTTCATGTTCTCAGCTCGCCATAAACAAGATCACATTATCGAATGGTGATCAATCCTCAATCGTCTTGTGTCTTCAACCAATAATCTAGGCAAAGATACTGGCAGTGTATCACGTCCCGCGATCCCTTGACCACATCCAGGATATGACTTAGCGGTCGAGTCTGGACCCTTTGCGGTTCGGTCCTGTAGATTAACCGTTGGTCTCCTTTCCCGATCGTGTTCGTTCATACTCGTCTCCGCTCAGCACTGAGTCACGTCTGCTCTCCACATCTTCCGCAGTGCTGGGCCTCCGACCGCTGCTTCCACGTCGAGTCAAAACAACGGTCGAACACTCGACGATTTTGCATTCACCTTCGGAATATGACCAAGACTTGGAGTCCGAGCCATCCGCGGAGCTGCTCGGGTCCGTCGCTCGTTCGCCCCGCATCGTGGGCCGCGGAGAATGTCGACATGATGTCATCAGTGGTGCTGGGTAGTGTGAGTTGTAGGTCCTGCCGCCGTAGTACATGATCTAGA